TGTACTAATTAGGGCCTTAACGCTTCGCCCACGCACGTGCCCATTGTCACACATGTGCCTATAATAATCCGTGCTCATACAATACACCTTGTGATTCGTGTCAACCTACCAATTGTCCAATTGTCTTCTCATTCATCTTGAGAAATACTTCTCAGAATACTTAATTTCATTAATAATAGATTCGCTTTGTTTCTGCTGTGCAACCTACTATAAACTGCTATGCTATAAAAACATAATTATGTACTTTACTCTAATTATAATAATATGAAGTGAAGAAGACATAAATCCATACCGAATAGATATCGGTTTTGAAAACAACACTTAGAACAGTGCGTCGGATTGTACGACTGTATCAGTGGACTTGTTGAAAGCACTTAATAATTCATTACATTATTCATGTCAAACATCAAGGTTGAATGCAAATGTGCACGTTGAAACTGAACAAAACAAATGTACAGATTCCATTGGATTTCGACAATCCAGAGTAAGACCCGTGCGATCGTGATGGGCTCCACCAGCCCACGTGCCTATCGACCTCAATACTACGTATCAACGCATTGGCAATACAAACATTCTGTTTATATTTACCTTCGTGTTATTATTACATGCTTGCGAGTAAATGCCAAGAAACACTAGATCAATTTAAATTTCGATATCTGCAGCCCGTTTATTTTCTGCGTTTCGTCATTGTCTAATTTCACCTCGCGCAAACACACAAACTAGTAGATTACTGTTATCGACTCGGCTACGTGACTGCCAACAGTTTTTTTGTTTTTTTTAATTGCATTGTGTTCTTATTTAATTACCATTGTTATATAATATACAATTTGTAGTAAATATTACCCTTTACGGCAGCATAGATGCTTAACTCGGGAATCACGTGCGAAAAGTCGTGGAACCGAGGCTTCGTTTATAAACAAAACAGGCTGGGATTCAGGTTTTGGCGCATTCGTTCTAAGCGCGTGGGCGGCCTTGACTGAGCGAAGGACGGCCGCCTCGCTTGGAACGTGCGCGTGCGCTGGGGGCGTGGCTCACACGCGAAACCACGTACCTATGCATGATTGTTGTTTTTCTTACTCTTGTTTTGTTTTTTTTTATCCCCTTTTAATAGTGGCAGAAAGCAAATAAGGATCTACAGTTAATTGTTATATACGACATGAAAGCTGATAAGAGTGTCTCGTTACAAAACAAATTTAAAAATGTCTTGTAAAACATCACGTGTCACCAAAAATAGATTAAAATACGGTATTCTAGACAACAATGTGTTTCCAGCATCTATTTTGCAGCAATTGCAATTTGTAATTTAATAATGGTGCAGAAAGTTTTACACCATTGTAACGTGACCAAGAGTTCCGTGGATAAAAACTGGTGGACGCATAACGACATTCATTATTCAGGAACCCCGGACGTAGGGTACGCGACAGAAATAATAAATAAACCATTCATACGTAAGCGGACTTGCCGACGGGCACTTCAGTAACTCTCTTGTGCAATAATTAAAATTCATGAAAGAATTTTTCGAAATTAGATTTTTGTGAACTTGGTGAAGCGTTTGATATGGATTCGTAGATAATTTAAAACCATGTTTAAAATAGTGTTTTATTGTTAATCTTTACTTCTATACTAATATTATAAAGAAGTTCAATTTGTAAGTTCGTATGTAGGGGGTAATCTTTGGAACCGCTGGTCGGATTGCCAAAATTCTTTCACTGATGGCTACAATGTTCCTATAGGCTATAAAACATCACGATACACTAAATGGAGCAGCGGGTAAAACTGCACGAGAGTAGCTAGTACCAAATAAATTGCAGGATATGATTTTCATTTTTTTTATCAGCACCCTTATAATTTATATTGCTACTAGCTTTTGTTTTTCTCAATTTTTCAGACGAGTTTCTACAGAAATAATTGCTTCTTAGAAAGTGTACTTTGTTATTCAGGGCCCTAATACTTAATTAATAATTTATTATTCGTGTAATTGAAAAACAAAACAACGAAGCACATTATTTATTCGAATTATTTTGATTACTATGTCTTTATACAAGTGTTCCTCGTAATATGAATACCGGTTCAACGATATTGCTAATAGTCCTGGATGGATTTGTTGGGGGTTCGCAACTGATTTTGTTAAATACCATGACTTGGCTTTGACGTAGAGACCGTGGCTAAAACTGATTGTTCTGTATAATTGGTCACCCACAACTTTATTTAGCTTTTGTGCACTTGTTTTTAAAGTCCTAATTGTTAAAATGAGTAAATTGCTATTCGTAGTATTTGCTTTGAATATACAATTTTATTAATCATTTTAAAAATCGTTCATTTATCATCCTTATTGTTACAACGTCTCCACTTGGACTTGAACAGTTCTTTACAACAGCTTTCCTTCACCTTTTAAGACTTGGTTCCATTGTAATCCGAAGTGGGAGCTACTTTAGTTAAATGCTTTGTAAGTATTGCATTGTGTAGCAGGCTTTGAGTTTCAGCCAACGGTTCTAAGCGTTTTCACACTTACAATTCCATTTTAGTCCGTTTCACTACGCCAAGATTACTTAATGCTATCATAATAGTCATACTACTATTCATCGCTGAACTTTATCTATCAACTTCTTATCTGTATTTATCAGATCATATATTTCAGGAATATCGTCTCACAAGGCGAATTTGTGTATTAAACTGTAAAGCGATTCAGAAACTATGGCACGGAATATTATTACACTAAAATTATCACTGACCGGTGAAGCAATATTATTTTTGATGCGAATATTATCTGAATCTTGGTGATTCTTTTTTACACGAGCTTTGTTGACGGTCTAAATATAAGTCAGTTGGCGTCACATCGCCGGGACCGGCTGTTGTCTCTGCTGAAAAATGTTTATTGCATGTATTTACTTTTATTTATCGTTACGTCCAATTTACAAACATTGGGTTCGTTGCCTTCCCAAATTTACGCAATGGATTGGTTAAGTTCTTTCGTATGTTATCATATCTAAGTGAGGTATCGTTCAGTGAACCGCTTTTCATTGCAGCCGATTATAAAAATTGTCTTTATTTAGCATAATGTTCATTTCTATTTCTTTAATAGGTTAATTAACTTTCTTAGTTCTCTCTTTGTATTCCATGACCGTAAATTGTAGTTTGTACATAAATTAACACATATTTCAAACTTAGTCTGTTTTAAACGGCATCTAATGAACCATTTATAACAAGTTCAACGAAAGTCATTACCAAAACAAGTTAACGAATGTTCACTCTTATCTTCTGTACAAAAATATTGATCCAAGCATGTTTGTACAAGTCATGATAATAAGAATACGCTGTTTTGTTTATAATTAAGTAGTCAAGGAACGTGACATGGGGATTACCTATTTTACAGCGGTGATTAACATGAAACATATTTGTAAAGAAATTATAACGAGTAATGTTGGCTACTCTCGTCCTTGAGTAGATTGTATCTAAAAAGAATATTATGTTGCTGTTTCATATACCAGTAAAGATGATGATAATTAAATAAGACACCTTTAAATAGTATTTACAAGTAGGTAACGTGTCCCGCCCATCAATTTCAGACAAGGTAATATGTTAAGTCCACATAGCCACGTAATCAATTTACTTTTGAAAGGTTAAATGGATTATTGAAATTCAAATTTGTCCTTTGGACTAAAGCAAATGTTTTGGTTCATGTTTAGTTTAAAGTCCAGATGAGTTCGAGAAATATTAATATAAATAGTTTCAGGGTACTTTGAGAGATTGGTCAAGGCTACGAATAAGATACAGATTAAATGACATCAATAGTAGAGTGATAGGGAGGAAGATTGGCTTAGATATTACTTGCGATTGAACCAAGAGACTTCTTGGATTCAATGTTTCAACACAATGTCATATTCATCTGACCCCAGTACCTACCAGCACAGGTAGCGTGTATCTAAGCCGACATGCAGGCTCAAATATATAATTTGTGCGCCTCGCCTCATCTCGTCCTTGTCGCAAAGTGGATAATCACGCGTCCACAGAACATGGCAGCGACAGATTGGATAACAAATTCATATGGTCACACTAATTTGCGAATCTCATACACCTCCCTAATATTTTAAAAGCGTACTCAGTATTTGATATTACAATTTTATGACCATCAATCGTTTTAGTATCTCTAATTGAATATGATGTACCGATAAATTATTATTTATCGTATTTCCAACTCGTGTGTGTATTCAATTAGTGGGTCGGTTAGTGTTACGTATACGTGTTTCTTTCCACAGTAATTGTACAATGAATGATAAGCAAATCATAGATTAGATGAAGTGGTGGTTTACATGCTTCATAAACCCATTCTGATACTCGATTGACGTCAGAACATCCGACAGACAGCTGGGCCAACATAGCGTGATACCAGACGATTCCTACAAATCGGACAAGGAATTGGGACGTCTATTTTAATGGATACTTTCAAATGCTGCCATCCGTCTCGAACGCAATGATAAACAACTAATTCATTTCGATTTTCTTTGATTCTAAGAACTACTTGAGAGTTTATGTATCTTTTATGAAATTTCTTAATAGTGAGTTTCTCGTTATAGTCTTCTATTATGTTGTTAGTCTGTTATCTTGTAACAATAAGCAGACTTATAAAAATAAACGTGTGTCTGGCATCTTTCTCAGAATTTACATTGTTCTTTCGATTCAAGAATTTGTGTGTTCAATCTTGGACATATCATGGACAATGTTTCATAATAAACGTCTGGATGTCTTTTGCCATACTTGTTGTTATCGCCCGGTGCTTCGCAGGTACTTGCTAATAGATCAGATTATAATAAAAACTATTTATGATATTAGCAGAAAAAACACCTTGTAAATACTAAGCTAGCCTACTCGCTGTATCCAATCCATTTTAAATGTTTAATTGGTTAACAGAGACAAGAGTTTCCTGTTACGTAAATTCTTATCTTAATTAAATCTGAAATCTTCGTTGCTTCGAAATCTAAATGAATGTTCATTATTTCCAGGTGTTCGGCACAGTTGAGTTGCCGGACAAGCCGATCATGTTGCCACCTTTCGTGGAGGCGACCCATTGCCTCGGCTACCATCTGACTCGTAAGGGTCGGGCGGTCGCCGATAGGGTTGTCTCCGTCCTTGGGTACGCCTGCCCTGACATCACGTACAGCCCTAGCCTGTACCCTATCACCGCTGCGTTGCTACACTTCATGCCTGGTGAGTACAACTTCAATTAACTCTTATTTTTTCTTAATATTTGTGTGTCAATAAGTTGTGAACTAGAATTTCCGTTATTTGAATTACAAAGAATCTGTTCCTTTACATCTTTTATTGCTCTTTTTAAGCATATTACTTAAAAACCTTAATATTGATTTTAATTAATTTAATGACAGCTGATAAAAGATAAATTGTTGACGAAATGAAATGACAACAAAAGAAACTTTGAAATTCGCGTCGTTTAGAATACCAAATCTTAATGTGAACATCCAATTTCCTCGGGTGGTACGGAGGCGGCTTTATTAATTAGTATTAAAGCTATCTCCCGAAGTATGAATGGGAGTTGTTAAATTTATTATTGTGGCATGCTCGATTTACGTACACTAACGCCACTTTATTGATTGTCATTACTTCTATTATGACGCTGTTTATTATACAGCCGTTTAATCGATTCTATTTCATCATTTTTATATGTTATTAAATCTTTTAGTGAAGTTAATTCCTATTCCCATCAAAGCAGTCCTATAGCATGTCTACCCGATTTGGCGTTATTTCAATGAATTCTGGTAACAAGTCGTTACATAAGATACAATTCTAGAGCAGAGGCGTCACAAAATTTACAGTCGCTCTCGCCTTAATTCAGTAATGAGTGCGGGGGGCGATAATTGAACTCGGCAATAGGCAAATTGCCGGACCAGTCTCTCCCGTCTATATCGCGATTACCTTTTCCCTCCTCGAAAACAAATAACAACTCTACAACTTCGTGCTAAGACCGACTATTCTTTGCATCTTATTCGTAGACCAGATATTTCTTATCAACATCTAAATTGAACCCTCGTACTTGGTAGCAGAGTCTGGTATGTATTCGATATGGATCTGACCGGGTTGACGTGATCAAAACGATAAATGGATGTCGCCGGCACGCCACAGATTTGCATTGCGTCCGTCGTGCTGTCAGTTCCATACGATTCACTTCCTCCGTAGCACGTTTTCATATAATTGACTGGAATGCGACCATGCGTTTGCGATCGATATGGGATGTGTGTGGATATTATATTGTTTAAAGTATATTTAATGATTTTGTTCCAACTAATGAAAACTCAAGTCTACATAAAGGATTGATGCTTGAAGTAGCTATTTATCGTCGCACGGATAATTTGAGCCGCGAGGAGGCGGAGAAACGGTGTCAATTTAACTGCCGGATGACTCCAAAAGTGACAATTTCCTCAACTGTCATCTCCTCTTTATTATGTAACATACACCCGTGTTTGCAGATGCGACATAGATTCTGTTCTCGCGATTACATGATAGACAATCAACGATTCATGAAGCGATAGACAATACCGAGAAGAAATCCTTATGAGGTAGTGTGAACAATGAAGTTTCTTTGGGATTTATTTGTGTTGTTTCCACTACTCTTTAGGGATTTTAGTTAGCTAGTAGTCGTTGAGTTAACCTGTCGGTCACGTTCGCTATGCGGCATGTTATTAAACTGAAATAGTTCATGACGCTCATGGTCGCATGTGACTCTCAAACGCTTGAATCGGTTTGGTCGTATCCAACGATGTTTTTATTGTCGTCCCTCACCAGTCGTGTGTCAATGTCGTTCACTTTATTAATTTGAACAGACATACGTCCATGACACTGGTAGCTCTAACCGTTATCACTGTCCGCTCTGGTTTTAACTAGATATCGTTCGAGTGCTCCACGTCATCAGCATTATCCATGTTGTTTTTGCACTAATAAATAAAGTTAGCGTTTGTAATTTGCTCTAAAGCGTCGACGTAAACTCCGGCTTGCCGTGTTTTAGTGGTTGGCTCCCCGCCAGTGCCTACTCCCCTCGTATCGATCCCAATACTGGCAACGTTACCACCAGCCGCCTGAACAATGTGACCGTTAAGGAATCTGTTCCACACTGTTATCCCTCTTATCTTTACGCGTTTGCTTTATCAACAGTTAAAACGAGATAAGCTGGTTTACGTCAACATCAAAAGAATTGAATACGAGTTTAATTTCTATCGAAAGTATTATACCTTTTTGGTGTAACAATCCAATGCGTATTGTAATTGTTATAATTTAATTCACCACAATACCGACACAAAGGTCGAAAGGGCTGCACAAAAAGTTCGAATAAAACTCTCATTTGTGTTGTTTGTTCGTTTTCTGAGCATTCAAGCGAGAAGGGGCTTCCTGTTCCGTTCTCGTGCCATACAATCGGTTTATATTACTCGCGACACGTAGATAAGACTTAATAAACTTTTCCTGCTTCTGTTACAGACATAATGACGATAAAGACGTCGTCGTTTCGTACAATATCTCGTTTTATCAAGTTCTTGAAACATTCACAAGTTATTATAATTATATTCTTGTTTATGCTGTTCGCTTTGATTGGGATGCTGAACTCGCTAATAAGCCTCCCTTTGTCAAACAGAGGCATTTTCGTTTACGAAACAAATTCCAAGTAACGAAGTTGTTCTATGTTTCTTTATTAAGTACTTACAGTGGAGATTGACAGAAAAGCTTTGAAAATCAATTTGCGGTGTGACCGTCTTCGAAGAACGCGAAGAAGTTTTACTATGTTTTTCAATTACGCTTGTTCAAAGGAACACCCGATCTCCATTTGGTACATAAAGTTACCCCACTTTTATACCCTAACTCAGACAAACAGGGTTGTTTATTGATACCCATCGATATACGTTGGATCAAACATTCGATATACAACGATAAAACTCCTTACTCGCGCCCATCAACAAATATTTATTTCAGAAACTTTTTGTGACCATTTTACTGCTGAATTAATGGCGCCAGTATTTTGTTTTATTTCGAGATTTATTGTGTGAGATCTAATCACATCGTTATAGTCCACCAAGGCCGGTACGATTTCCATACGAGCTGAGGTCCACACAATGTCATGAGTTAGTCAGACCAATGATATCATAGTAACGCTGCGGACTAGATAAATGATACAGAATTAATACTATTTTTATATTCACTACGAAAATCTGGTGCTGCGAGACCAAAAGAAAATGATATCGTGCAATAATAGACCGTTGCCAAATTATATGCATTCTCTGAAGTACATTGAATAGATGGTAACGAGTAACGAGACTTTGTCCTAATTTTTCTTCTGTAGCTAATAATATCGACTTTCTCTGTTGGACTGTCGTATATTTTTATTGCTGTAATAATAAAGATCTTATTAGAAACGTCTGCCATAAAGTTACGGGCATGGCACGACCGTATAATGCGAGGTTTTGGTAGCAAATTGTCGCTGTCAGCTTTTACAGAATAATCTTCTTTATGTATCTTACATTCTCATATCTGGTTTCTGTCTAAGGGATTCAAGCTCACAGACCTGTAAAGACTAAATCCCGTTATTAGTGTTAAGTTTTTGAACCTTAATTCTTATTAATGTACAAAGCATCTGTTTTTAAATATATTATATTGGTTCAAATATTTCAATGGTACAATTTTCTCTCGTTTTGTCTAAATTGGACTTGTGTAGTTTGACACTCTTTCTTCACCTAAGTCATCTGTAATCGGTATTAAATGGAACAGAAACCTTTCCATTTCTGGACAAGACTAGCAGATGTGTTACTGACTTTCGGACAACCCTCTTGTTTTTCTTCGGAAAGAAATTACCTTTTTCGGCCCAATACAACGCTACCAGTCTAATGAATTGAATCCCCAATTTCATTTCCTTTTTGTTTTACATGTTTCATGTAATTACATCCATTGGTATATTTGTTTTCTCCCATTTTCATTTTGCGAAATAAAACAAAATTAACTTCGTGTCCCTTTTAAGCTCCTGAAGTTTTGTAGCGTTTATTCGTCTCTAGAGCATTTAAAACTGTATACTCCAGCGTTCGTTGACTTGCTGTGGATGTAGGTCAGCTATTGTGTAGGCAGTCGTGTACAGCCTCTACAGATTTTCACAGTCAGCTGTTCTCAATGGAGTCAACGTTTCATTGCTGCATCATTCAGCCATCTGTAGTTATGACTCCGGCTATTGTTTGGTCTCCTTTTTTTATTTCTATCACTTCGTTACTTTAATTTAGCAGCCTCAATGTGCAGTGCCTGCGTTTTCAATGCAGACTATTATGACTTACTGGTGCAATATGCAGCTCGCAGACAATAGATTTCCTAGCTATCGTATTTTAAGTTCAATGTGGCTTAAGAACTCTATTCTAGCTGTTTTTTTCTCTTAAGGGGCAATGTTATCAAGTAAATTCTCCCGCTCTTATTGAACAAAAACCTCCGTTCCTTTAGTGCGGAGCTGGGTTTCGGCACTTGCACTCAACCCCGTCTCTATTTAAACCAAAACAACAAAAGTCAATTTCAGTTCAAAAAGGTAAACGTTTATATGATCTCAACTTTATGCTTTTATTTTCATAATATGCATTTCCACTGCTAAGCACTACAAAAGCTTTTATACAAATGATTCCCAAGCCGCAATTTCATTTTAAATTTCCTCTCTATTTGTAGCTTTAACTAGTGAAACTCCGTCCGTCAACTTACCTCAAAGGATTTTCTAAAATGTAGCGTTGCATTTGAGTTGGAGCTCATGAGTGCCTGACCCGAATCCACATCGACCCACTGAAAATAGGTCACGATCTTTGTTAAGCACTCCTATTTTCGGCTTTGAGTCGAAAATAAAATTTTCTGACTTACAGTTCACCATGCTACGAATACAGGCTTTGCTAGAAAATACAGGTTGTTATGAAAGGACCAAATAATTTGACAATAGGCTTCCAGATCACCGAGTTATAAGGGTTGGAAATTGGAATGTAATTCGCTCAATCCTGTGATTAATCTTGGATTGATTCCATTTTCTACAAACGTTGTACGTTTTTACATTGAATTTGTTTTCAAGAATTTTGCTTACAGCATACAAAATTATTATGGTGATTAATGGGGACAGTGCGAATGAAAATGTAACCAAACCATACCGGATCTTACAGATGATGTTTATCTAAAGATATTTAATGCTAATTGTAAGA